AAGGAATCTCTTCCCCCTAACTGCCCTTAAGATGGTTTCCTTGGTTCTAAGATTTGCAAGTTTTACTATTACATGCCAGGGTGTTGGCCTGTTTTCCTTGATCTTGGGAGGGGTCCTCTCTGCCTCTAGGACACGAATGTTTGTTTCATTCCCCAGGTTAGGGAAGTTCTCAGCTACGATTTGCTCAAATATATCTTCTAGTCCCCTCTCTCTCTCCATCCCCTCAGGTATCCCAATAATTCTGACATTGGAACGTTTCATGGTGTCACTTATTTCTCTGATTCTATTTTCATGGATTCTGAGTTGTTTTTGCCTGACCTCCTCTTTTCCCTTCTTGTCTATTAATTGATCTTCTAAATCACTAATTCATTCTTCTGCCTAGTTTACCCTTGCTGTTAGATTATCTAGATTGGATTGGATCTCATTGATAGCATTTTTAAGTTCTGCCAATACAGCTTTCATTTCTGCCCTTAGAGACTCTATGTTGCCATTAATCGATTTCTCCATCTGGCCATTGTCTTCACAATTGCTACCCTGAATTCCATCTCCAACAACTTGGTTATATCTGAATCCATTTGTAAATCTGTGGCATAAGTCATAGTCTCTGAGTATTTCCTATTTTGGGGATTCCTCCTCCTAGTCATTCTGTTGAGGGGTGGTTGAGGAAATGTATAGAGTCCAAATTACTGACCACAACCCAAGCAAGATGCACCTGTTTTCTAGGGACCTTAGGGTTGCTGGCCTCTTGTTTTCCCAGCCTGTCTTCTGGGGGAGGGGCCTGCAGCACTGTTTCTCAGGCAACCCTGTTTGGGCAGAGTTGCCTTGCCCCCTGTGGCGGGGGATGGGCTCAGTGGAAACCAGTTTTTTGGGGCTTTTGTTCTCTGGCGGCTTTCTCTGGCGGCTTTCCCTAGGGGGTTTCTGCATCTCTTCCGTGAGTCAGCAGAAGAGATGGTTTCCAACCCTCTGCCTCAGAGCAGAGAGATCGCAGTCTGTTCTTCAGTGAGCTCTCCAGGCCACACTATCTCTGTTTCTGTCTGTGCTGCTATAAACTGCAGTGTCCTGGGTTGTGCGCCCCTCAGCAGTGCTCCCAGTCCTTGCCTCCAGGTCAGGGCAGGTCTCTGCCCTTTGTGCCTCTAAAACTTCCAGCCACCCCCAGTTCTCAGGTGCAGCCCCATCGCTCCAGGTTTCCGTCCAGAGGGCTGCTCTAAAGTCCTTTCCCCGTCGCTACTGGTCTGTGAGTCTGTGCCCGATCCCCAGCGCGGGAAGCTATCGCTCACTGGTGGTATAGGATCCCCATGGCCAGGTTCCCTCCCCTTTCCATTTATCCTTTGATATCTGCCTGCAGAATCACGGCTCCCTGCTTCGTGCCTCGAAACCAACCTCCTGCAATATTCTGTTTGTAGAGATCCAGCTCTATCTTCTTACATCTCGGGCTGATTTCGTGGGTGTTCAGAGTGGTCTGGTAGATATCCAGCTAAATTCCGGGGACCGGTTGGAATAGGGTCCCCTGCTCCTCTGTCATCTTTTCCCTTCAGCAAGGTGTCTGTTGTCTTCTTTTAATAGCAGTTTGCCACAAACTCCTAAAATACTACATGTTTTCCTTTCATATGCTGGTGATCGCTTTCTCTCATTATCATGAACTGTGCATGTATGTCACCTCCTCTCTAGACTGCTAAGTCCCTAGTGGAAGAATCCGTTTTACCTTTATGGCCTCACTGTCTAACACTGAACCTGACTTATCATGTTAATTCCACTTAGTTGTTCCGTTATTATATCTTATGAAATGAAGTACATACAATGTTTACCCACGCAGACACATACAAAAATACACTTGGATTAGCAATATAAATAATTTTTCTGAAGCCCTCCCTTTTGGTTAGTTCTAAATTCTGAGAACCTAAACAATATTTCTGTCTTCTCAAGAAAGAAAAGTTCTTTTTTTGTGGCTGGGGAGGAGTGCAGAAAAAGAAACTTTGGAGAAAGCAGGCCTGCTTATACTTTTGATGCCTTTCCTTTTTCTCTCCCTTTATAGATCTTGAAATGGTTCTGCTCATGTGGGCTGCATGATGCGGCCAATTGGAGGGTATGTCATATACTCCAGAATGGGCCAGGAGAGACAGAGGGGATGTGTGTGGATGTTCCCTGCCTCTCTTTTTTCTGGTTAGGTTTCAGGGGCTGATGCTCCATTTTGGAACCTAGATTTGGGTGTGGGCTACTCTGCCTGCTGCCTGTTGGTGAAGAGGATTCCACATGACAAGTCTTAAAGCACCACGGAGAATACCCCCATGATGGTGTTGGAGGGACTGCTAGAGATGGTGAAGAAAGAACCATGGGGGGAAATGAGCAGCCATTAAGAATGAATAAACTCATCAGGTCAGTGCTGATGTTAGGTCAGTCCTTCAAAGCTTATTGGTGTTCTGGATATAAAGTCGAAAATCATGGCTCTTGCAATCACCCATTTCCCGTCTACTTCAGAGCTGGGTGAGATACCTCTCCTTCACACCCATTGCTTCAGCCATACTGGCTTTGGTAGTTCCTCACATGTAACTGCCTCTCCTGCTGGAGGAGCTTTATGCCAATGGTTCCTTCCGTGCAGAACAGTTTTCTCTCCAACCTTCATGTAGCCAACTACAACATGTTCCTCCCTGATCCCTCAAACCCAGTTAGTGCCCCCAGTTTTACAACATCTGGCACCCTTTACTTGCCCTTTGTCAAAGCTCACCAGTCTTTCAACAGCCTGCCCAGTTTCTTCACTAGACCATAAGCTCCTTGAGGGTGGACACCAAATCTGCCTCATTCATCACAGGAACTGCCATGTCTGTCCCCTTGCCAGGTGGACACCAGACTCATGATATTATCTGTTAGGTGAAAGCATGTCTCAATGCTTCTAAGGATAATTCTCTGAGCTGACTGGGTGGTGCTACCAGAAACATGAGAACTGAATGGGTTCTTTCTGCTTTGTCTCTCCCAAATCCAGCTGGGAAGTAGGAGGTTTGAAGGACAGCATTGTAGATGGGGACTCTGGGTGAGGACTCTCACTGTGAAATAGGAACATTTTCAAGGGAACAGTCCTTTTGCTGGAGCCCCTCAATTTCAGTGTGGTTAATAACTTAATTGTTTTGCAGTGTGAATAATTCACCTGTGGAAAAAATTTAGCTCCAACAGTAGTGCTGCTTTTTGCATTAAAATCCTGAAATCCTGGGGCGCCTACGTGGCTCAGTTGCTTACTGTTGATTTCCACTGACTGTTGATTTAGGCTCAGGTCTTCAACTCAGGGTCATAAGATAGAGCCCCGCATCAGGCTCATTACTGGGTGTAGAGCCTGCTTAAGATTCTCTCTCTCCTTCTTCATCTGCCCCTCCCCTCTCTCAGGTGCCCTCTCTCTCAAAATTAAATTAATTAATTTAATTAATTAATTAATTAATATAATATTTTTTAAAATCCTGAAATCCTGATTAATCTCAACTGGACTCAGTCCAGACTATGCCATTTCTATTAACATTAAAAAATAATCTGTAACTACACCAGCAAAGCCACCCCTTAACAAAGGACCAGTGAGAACCTTAGAAATCTAGAACCCCCCTCTCCCAAAAAATGATGAGTTGGGGAAATAATTGGACCTGAATTAAATTATTAAGTAATAGTAATGGTGGTTTAATGTAATCAAATTAAACCTCCATATCTGGATGGGTTTGGCCTTCTGGGTGTGTGTCATTTGGTCCATCTTCTCTAAATCATTTAGTCACTCATTTGCCTACTATACAGCCCCCTAGGGGGCAGTAATCAAAGTGAAATAACTCTACCCACAGAGAGCTTATTGTCTATTTGGAGAGAAAGGCATAGAAAAAATAAGTGAACAACATTTACTTTCAAATTCCAAAGGATACACCCAGCCCTTGTGGAGAGGCATACCCTAAGGAATCAGGTACGACCTCTGAAGTGTTTGTCCTACATTTTCTGCACCTCTGGCATTTACTTAATACCGGCTCATGGGTTCTCCGTTTCCCCCATTACCTCATATTTCAGTGCTATGTAAACTGTCTTCTCCAAATTAGCACACATAAATGCCAAAGATTCAAAACTCTACTAATTATTGCAAACTTTCTTTTTTTGTAACTACTTTACTTAGACATGCCATATTTGTAGTGTTCTCGGAGTTCTTAGCAAATTCTCAAACACTGTTTAAAGATATGGGTTGCATGACACCAATTCATGTTGATTCTCTGCTCAAAAACTATAATTGTAGTATTTGTGTTTTAGTGACTCTATACTTAAAATTTCAACCTGACCCTCTATTACAAGAGAGATTTAGATTTCATTTATCTAAAATTAAATGCCAGCTACATTACTGATAGTGATATTTTTTAAAATGGTAAATGTATGAGGTAGTCAGTTATTTGCATAAATCTATCTATATGACCGCAATGACTGGGGAAGGGACAGGCACATGGTTGAGAGAAAGTCATAGGATGGTGTGGGATCTACCGGAAAGAAATTCTGTCTTTTTTTGGCTCAGCATGAGCCTGGGAAGATGAGGCCTACCTTTTGCTGTCAGCAGCAGTCCTGCCACCAGACACAGCCCAACATCAAAGATAACCTGAAGACAAACATAGCCAAATTCTAACGTCAGTTTGAGTACCAGTATCAACCCGAACGTGAGGCTGCTGTACAGCTGGTCTTGCATGCAAGTGCACCTAAAATTCTTTTTTATGTTCAAGTTCATTAGTTAAGGTTAGATGTGCCTTGCAAACAAATGAGACCTTACTGATTCCATCTCACAGAAGGATCAAGGTAGAAAGAAAGCTGCAAGCAGGACAATTTAAGTCATTCTGTATTTATTGGTATTCAATCTATTTTTCCCAAAGAGAAGATATACAGTCCGACATAGCCCATTTTAATAAATCCTCTGCTTCTGAATTTACATCCTGAATTTCTACGACCTCTAATCAAGGTTCAGTACTATCACACACAGTGGTTAAAATTTTTCCCTGAGATCATGAAGGCTGTGTTTTTAGCCACAGAATATTTTGCCTTACCAAAATTCAGGAGAAAACAGAAAACTGGAAGTCTTTTGGTAGGAGATGAGGCAGGCAACTTAGGTAGAATTCCTGAGAAAAAGGTGTAGAGTCAACTAATCCACTAATTAATATTTTCCTGACTGTGAACTATTATCCGTTCAATGTCGCTAAACATTCTAGAAGGGAAATACATTTTATTGCCTAGAAAGACACTTTATCACAGGGCTGTGTGCAGAGCATCTTGACTTTTGCTAACTGCCAGAGCCATCATGATGCCTCATTTCCAGTAAAGTGCAGAGTTAGTGAGGTACGAGCAGCCTCTCCCCAGTGGCATGTGGGAAAGAGAAACCCAGACATGGATGATGAGAAGAAATGGTTATCACATTAAGTGCTTAGGCCTCCAGTGTTTTTCAGAATGGTTTGAAATCAAAACAGCTCATGATCCTACACAAGTAGGAATGGCAGAGAGAGTCACTGGATTATCACCTCAAACCCCAGCCAAGCATAAGGGAAAATGGCCATCAGCCCATGTCTTCCAGTACTGGTGCATGGAGAGTCCACTCTGAAGGGGATGGGGCTCCCAGCAGCCCCTCCTGGGTTGCGAGAAGCCACATTCTGGGAAGGAGCCAGCTCTCTGGGATCGGTTGCTCTTGGATTGTTGTGGTTCCTCACCCACCCATCCCCCTAAAATGGCACAATGGAATGACTGTGTTCTCTTTTGAGGACTTCCCTTTTAAAGATAAACAAGCACAAGTTTCCCTAATCTGATCCATATTCAATAGTGGGAGAAGGCAGCCAGTTCCAGGGTGGGGAGTGGGAAAGGAAGCCAGGCGTCAGGCAAACACACTCAGGGACGACATGCTGGATAGCTTGCAGGCCTCTGAAGATGGAAAAGTGAAAGGAAAGCTGAGCATCAGCGGGCCGTGGCACTTCCAGATCATCATTCCATGGACACACGATCCCCCCTCTTAGGTTTTCTTGAGGTAGTTCTGACAGGCTTTCGCCATGTCCTTCAAGAAGTTAGGAACGCCATTCTGCAAAACAAAGGACACCATCACTTCTGTGTCCTTATGGTCATTTCTCCTGATTCTTTGAGATATGGCAAAGGTAAACAAACATGACTCTGAGAATAACAAATATGACAATAGGGCCCCTGTCCGATTTCTATAGAACATGGCCACAGATCATGACAGAAGACCCAAGGCACAGGTGAGACTAGATAGCAGGGGACACTGTTGTGTATCTTGGCTTTTCCTAGTAAAAAGCTAAGATGATCCTGAGACACCATTTTTTGAAAAGGAAAAACACAGGAAATGGGATTGGGTTGGGCTATGGGATTCTAACCCAGGAATCAGAGAAAGGACTTCTTTTACAGAATTAGGAAACGGTGAGGGTGGGGGGCAAAGGGCAGACTATGTTATTAGTTAGTGCTGAGCATTGTGCAAGACACCACCTTAATTTACCACTACTCTACAGGGTGGTAATACCTGTCCCCATTTTCGAAAGGGAAGAAATCAACAGCTTCCCTAGATTATACAAACAAAAGCTGGACCAGGACTCAAAACCACATGTGTTTGACTCAAAGCCTGTGCGCTTTGCACTCTCCCAGGGAATGGGCTGAGCCCTCCCACCGGTAAGTAGCCCTCCTACAAAGCACTGAATGGTTCCCATAAAGCCAGGTTCTCTGGGGGGTCTCTAGTGATCTGGCCACCACTGCAGTCCCCTCTCCTTACAGAGAAACAAAATAACAATAACAAAACTGGAGGCTTCCAGGCTTGGACACGTCTCTCGAGCCAGGTTGGCCTGTCATAAGCAGACACAAGGTCCAAAGGCACCATTTTTCATTTTTCCTACAAGGAGCAGGCTTTTATCTGGAGGATGCAGAGAGTGATCCTGGCAGGGTCTTGCTAGCAGGGAGGGTCTAACATTCCAGCTAAGGATTCTTCTCCTTTGTCCCAGCCTCTACATCCTGGATGTTGGCAACCTCAGTCCTAACTGTAGTCACTCAACCAAGCTGCTTCAATAAAAGAGCCTCATTAGGCCTGAGACACGGTGTCTCTTCAGCCTGACAGCCCCGTGGGCTAAGTCAACATTTGTCAAACACACTTCCCCCTCCTGCCTCCTGGGATCTCACCTTGGCGACCCAGTTTATCAGCCAGGATGGAATCTGGCCACCCGGGTTATCGAAGTAATACATGAAAACTAGAAGGGAAAGAAAGGACAATTCAGGAGGAGAAAAAAAATGTTAGAAATACAACAAACCCTGCAAAGCTTCCCCCTCTATCTTCAGGCCCCCGAAAGTAAGGAGGGAGGCAACACGGATTCAGGAGGACTTCTGTCCTCTGCCTTGCCTCACAGAATAAATACATATATATTTATATTATAATATATTTATATTATACACAGACACACACACACACACATATTTTTAAAAACAAAGCCATAGGCAGATTTTGCTGCTACTGATTAAATGCCTGGCAAGTGCTAGACACTTGGATATAGTCTCTCATTTAATTATTTCTATCGGGGCGCCTGGGTGGCTGAGTCCTTAATAGTCTGCCTTCGGCTCAGGTTATGATCCCGGGGTCCTGGGATAGAGCCCCGCATCGGGCTCCCTGCTCAGTGGGGAGCCTGCTTCTCCCTCTCCCATTCCCCCTGCTTGTGTTCCCTCTCTCACTGTGTCTCTGTCAAATAAATAAATCTTTAAAAAAAAATTATTTCTGTCATTAATTATCAGTCCAAAGGAGTTGGTAAAATTAAACCCCCACTTATAAAGGACAACATGGAGACTCAGAGCAATTAGGGTGGCATGTCCAAGGTGACAGATCTGAAAAGCTTCAGAATTATGGTTCAGAGGTTACCTCACACATAAGGCCACACTGATTCCCATACAACAAGTGGCTGGCTGCCCCCACTCTGCTCACAGCTTTTCTCTGTGCAGGCTGGAACTCAAGGCAGGCAGGTCCTGAGTCGGCTGAGCAGGAGCTGCGTCCTCAGGGATAGTCGTGCCAGCCCTCTTGCCCTACCCCACCCCCAGGCAAAATGTATGTATCCCCAGGACTAGCCTGAAGTGAATTTTTAAACTTTCTGGTTTGATTTCCTGGGGACAATGCAAGAGTCAATAAAGAATGGGTTGAGGGGCACCTGGGTGGCTCAGTCGTTGGGCGTCTGCCTTCGGCTCAGGTCATGATCCCAGGGTCCTGGGATCGAGCCCCACATTGGGCTCCCTGCTCAGTGGGAAGCCTGCTTCTCCCTCTCCCACTGCCCCTCTTGCGTTCCCTCTCTCTCTGTGTCTTTCTCGGTCAAATAAATAAATACAATCTTTAAAAAAAAAAAAAAAAAAAAGAATGGGTTGAGTCAGATTTAACCATCCACCATGCACTCAAGCCAGGTTTCTGGGGGTGAACTGAATCTCTCCCCAGGTTTTGATCCCTTGTTTGTTTTACACCCGTGCCCATTCTCTGACCTCAGGGAAAAAGCATCATGCATTTTACATGCCTAACAATCAGCATGGCCTACGTATAGTGGCCCCAGCTGCTTTGCCAACATGTTCCCCGGCTTTACCTTTGCTCCCCTTCTTGCCATCACTCTCGATCGCTAGGCTCTGCTTATACTGATTCACCCGGACCACATCAGACCTCTCAGGAATCTGTGGCGCAGAGGTGCTCTGGGCCAGGACCACGTGGATCTTCTGCCCGTCCATGTCCAGGTCTCGCCGCTGCCGGATGTAGACATACTATACTGCTAGTCAAGGCATGATACCAATGCCAGCATTTCAGATGGGTGGAAGGAAACCCCACAAGCCAGAAGCAAAGCGAGATGACTCTATTCCTCCCACCTGGCACTTGCTCCCAAATACTGTTCCTTTACTTCCCTGCCCTGTCTCCCTACCTGCACTGCAAGGTTGTACCCCATACAAGTTGATATTCTCATTTGACAGCATGCATTACCTACCTGTGAATGATTCCTTGATGCTTTCAATTATATGGGGAAACCACTCGTCCTTTCTCTAAGAAGGCACTGTGAGATATTAGAGGACTGATCACTCAGCAGCAGTGTGATTCTGCATTAGTTACTCAACCTTTCCGAAGCTAAGGGGGTTAGATTCCCCAGCAGGCACGCCTTGTGGGGGCACTGGAGAAAGACTGGGGCAGAATAAATACTCCATAAACACTGGGATCATTCCCCTTTGTCCTGTCCTCCCCCAAAGCTCTAGTTAGTGACCTCTATGCACAGAGGATGGTCAAGCAATGTTACTTACACCTAGTGGTCAGAGGAAGAAACATTGGTACCTGAATATTTAGTAGGCAGATGTCCTCTCTGGGTTAACACTGGTTAACCACCCAGGATAACAAAGCCATTTCATCTCTATAAACACAGAGCACTCACTATGTGTATGGTACTGTAATAGGGAAGATAATTTACTCCTAAGAAACAATGAGAGTTACCATTTACTGAGCCCTTACTATGTGCCTTACATATAGCATCAGTTTTGATCCTGAAAAGGTCCCTGTGAGTTTGGTGTAAGTATCCTCATCCTACAGATGACAATATTGAGGCTCAGAGAAGTAAAGTAACTTGCCAAAGATCCCATGGCTCAACTGGAACCGGAGTGCAAACCCAGATCTGGCTCCAAAACCTAGTTCGACTTTCATAGCTGGACGGGCCTCAACAGAATTTTAGGTTTCACACTAGAAGGAATTCAAAGCCTAAACAATAAAAAATAAAAATAAATAAATTTTTAAAAATCACTCTATAACATAATATACTCACTGTAACAGCAACAATGATAGCCCCATGCCACCACAGAGTCTCTGCAGCACCCAAAGGGGTCCCAGCCCTCACTCAGGCACCCTGCAGGATGCGCTACTGCTCCCGACTCTATGGACTGGCAAGTAAAGTTCTTAAATGTTTTGGGGGAGAAATGATGTTGCTTTGGCTCTGGCTTTCTGCCACCAAGACCTTTCACTTTTTCCTCACAGCAAAAATTGTCCCACTCTCTCCCAAAACTTGCTCATCTCATGTGACAGATACCACCTGACATTCCATTAAGGAAAAACCAACCTGATATATTGATTAAAACTTGGCAGAGGTCTTCAAAAGTTTGGAAGGTTCAGCCTACCATAGGGCCTATGACCAGAGAACCACTGGTTCACTGAGGCCCAGAGAAGTGAAGGGACTTTTCCAAAGTCACACAACAAATCAGAGAATGAGCTCACATTCCATCTGGGATCTTCAGCTCCAAACGAATGTTCTTTTCCACTACCCTATTCTCTGTTCTCAAAAATTTAACCACTAGTGGAGAGACATGCATATAGAAAGATTAAGAAACCCATTATCGGATTGTGTGGTATTGGAAAAACAATTATATAGAACTTAAAGTAGGCCCAAGTGTCTACCCCTAAGACCTAACCAGCAGTGTCATAGTGAGGTCAGAGAGATGGGATCATGCCCTGGTCAAGGTCACCATCTCTGGGAATAGCTGGACATGGGTCCCAAACCTGCCTCTGCCACCCACTAGTTGTGTGAACCAGAGCAAAGTTCTGGACTTCTCTTTGCCTCAGTTTCCTTGACTATGAAATGAGGATGATGATACTTTGCACAGTTGTTGGCAGGATCAGGGAAAACCACATAAAATCTAAGGGTTAGAGTAATCCACAATTCGTTGAAATACATACCATATGTTGTACAAAGTACCTAGCAGTATGTAAGCAAGAAATAAACCCTTTATGGAGTTTATAATCTAATTGGGCCAAAGTAAACACATACACTTAGACACAAAAACACAAACAATATACATAAAACACAGCCACATGCTCCTTCTCTTTCAAGAGAATAATTATTTAGGAAATACAGACTTATACAAAGCTAAAGCTAGAAAAGATCCCAGTGATCATCCAGTTTGGTGGTTTCCAAACTCTTTTTTTTGAATCCACAAGACCCTTTGTTGACAGGATCTTCTATGGAAATTCAGTGTGTAACATACTCAGCTGCTGTGATTGAAGAGGACAGTGAAGGAGTGGAAATCTCACCTATCCTGCCCCCACCCTGCCTGTCCTTCAAATTTCCATCCCCCTTCCTAGGCTAGAACTGAGAGGGCTTCTTAGAACCTTGGAGTGTCAACTAAAACTCCCCACATTCCATTCAACTGTTTTAACGATAAATGAGGGTAAGAAACATACACCCAGTATCCAGAGCCAACAGTCAAGTAGGGATCACTGTGGGGTCAATAAAACAGGAGGCAAGATGAGGAGAGCTGGAAAGTGGGGGCCTGGGGTCCAGTCCCCACTCTGCCACTAATCATCTGTACGTATGCCTCTGTCACTTTACCTCTCTGGGTGCCTTCCACCCCTAGATTGAGGGAATGTATTTTTGTTTTTTAAAGACTGTATTTATTAATTTGACAGAGAGCGAGAGCAGGAACATGAGCAGAGGGAGTGGGAGAGGGAGAAGCAGGTTTCCTGCTGAGCAGGGAGCCCGATGCAGGGCTCTATTCCAGGACCCTGGGATCATGACCTGAGCTGAAGGCAGATGCTAAACGCTGAGCCACCCAGGCGCCCCGAGGGAATGTATTAAACACTCTTTATAAATAGTTCTTTCCAGGTCCCCAATTCTGTGGTCCAACAATTTCAAGCCTTAGAAAACTTCTCAGGAAAGTCTAAGCTGCCCTCCAGTGACCACAATCACAGAGGCTCCACATGGTCAGGCCCAGACATCACACACTGAGGTCTCCAAAAGTCACACAAGAAGCAACAGTTTTAGCAGATGCTTTTTAAGAATCAAGAACAATGCTGTCTACACCTGCTGGGCATGCCACCATTGGGCAATGGTCAAATGGCACAAGAAACATTTAGAAAGCCAAGTAGGAAGGATACGTCTCTGTTGGACATCGGAAAGGGGTACTTCACTTGCCAGTAGACCACGGTTTTTCCATTGCATTCCTTTTCATAGAGTTCTAAGGCAAACAAAAGAAGTTAATGTATCTGGAAACTTCTCGGCTCCAATTAACAAGAAGCCTAGGTATGATGACCTCTGAGGATATGATAAACCACTAAGAAGGCACAGAATTCTAGAAAAAATCAGACAGATTCATTAATGCTGAAAGCTTGTTGCCCAAGGGCAGAGTCTAGTAGACAAAAAAACACAGTAAAAAAGAAAATAACTCAACAAAATGTGTCCATTGTATAGCACAAGCAAGATTCTCAGAATGCAATAAAACAAAATCAGGCATCCAAAAATAGATGTTCAGGTTTTAAAATCAGGGCAACCACCAGATGTCACTAGAATCCCAATAGTTTTGCTTTTGAGACCTCTCTTTAGATTTCTTCACCTTTTACAGCTAGCCTGGGTCTGAGTCACCCAGTCTAGTGTGTTCAGCTGGGAAAAGAAGGTTCCAGAGAGGGCAGTGTCCTTCCTAAACAGCTAGGAAGTGGCATTAACTGTGGCTAACCCTGAATGTCTTCCTTCTCTCCTGTTTCTTTACATTCTACCATAGCTACAAGACCAGAATTCTTAGTATTCCATTATTCTACTGTGTGCAAATAGCAGCTGACTCTCAGCTGGAGAAAGCAAAGGAATTCAATGACATACACACCCTCTGACCCCAAGCTGTGCAGTAAGCTTCAAACCAACCATTTAGAGAAGGAGCCAAGCCAAGGCTGCTGAAATAACCATGAGAACCCCTTGAGGAGCTCCTGATGAAGGAAATGCATTATTTAATTCAGCTTTGGAAAGAAAATCTATAAGAAGCAAGGTCATGGATTAAAGAGCTTGCCAGGGCATTGGTGCCACGAGAGGCTAAAGACAGCCCTTGAGAGGAAGGGAAGAAGTGGACATGTTGCCTTTGCATGCTCAGCATCACCTCCCCCTTCCTGGACCAGCAATTTCAATTCTCCTTCAGGGCATCATCGTTTCCCTCCTCCTGACTATGTGGTTTAAGCAGAGTCCTTAAATTAAACTCAGCATTAATTTCTGGCTGGGAAAATGAACAAGACATGGCCCAGTGATTTGTTCAGGGATGGTGCATCTGGCCAGGGTCTTACCTTGTCACTCTAAAAAGTTTGGGCCAAAAAGTGGTTCAGTAAAGACTCTCAGGTAACTCACAAATATCTAGAAGGACCAGAGTTAGGCTTAGAACTTCAGGATTATTCCAGAGAAGGCAAACTACTGCTGTGACTAGACTAGACACGATAGCATGAATGGCTGATGCCAAGTACCAAACATCAGAGGCTCTAGAGTGGTCTCTCCCAACGTCAGATACCTTAGCCCTACCATCACCAAAAAATTGATTGTGATGCTGCCTGCTTGCTCATGTTGTTCTCTCTCAAATTGAAGCTGCACGTTGTCTTATTGGCAACATATGTATTACACCACTGAACCATGGCTGCTAAGGAGACTGGGACAGAGAACATCTGGCTTCTCCCTTGAATGGAGGAGCATCACAATTCACCCAGATAGGAAGGGCATTTGAAAACACTAAGAGACCAAAACCATGACAAACATCCACAGGATGCCATGGCAGCAAATTGTGGGACGCTGGCTGCCATCAGTAGAAAAGTGGAATGCTCATTCCTGTTCCTGTGGGTTATTTATACGGTGAGACTATAAGCCTGGATCGTCTGGGGGTCATCTTTGCCATGACATAAGAATCTGCCTGAGAATTAGGTCAACTCAGGAGAAAACGGAGTCCAGATGGAGAAAACATTTAAACATTGGATGCAGTGTCCTGGGAGTCAGAAACCCCTGGACTTTTCAATGGCATGAACCAATAAACCCTTTCCTTTTCTCACACTGGCGTTTGTTAATTTCTTGTTGCTTGCAACCAAGGGTCCTGACTCTAGCAAGAGTCTTTCAGAGCTGACACGCCCCTGGGCTCGCTCTGCAGTTCTAGTCCACTGTGACTAAATGACAAAGGCCACTCCCAGCTCTAAGTGACAGGAGGATCACCTCTTTCATGCCTTTCATAGCTGTCCATTGCTTTCAGTGTCAAATCTAAGCACTGTAGCCTGGTGGCCAGACTGGGCCCCTGGGGATCTGGACCTTCCTCCCACCCTAGCTCTAGATTCTGCTACCCCAATAGCCCAGTAAAACCAAATTGCTCAGTTTTTGAACATGCCATCTGTTTCTTGCCTTCCTCATTTTACTCAGGCTGTTCCCTGGGCCTCAAATAGCCTTAAACAACTCACCCCCTCACCCTCTCAGCTTCTCACCTATATGCATTCTTGTTTTTTGTTTTTTTGCTGTTTGTTTGTTTGTTTGTTGCATTCCTGTTGTTTATAAAACTTTGATTCAACTTCCAAAACAAAGCTTGGATACCACCTCCTCCAAGAAGCCTTCTGTGACTACCTAGATATATGGGATGATGACAAACTTATAGTGAGAACAAAGTAGGCCTTGGAGCAAACTGGAGAGTGGCATCTGAGAGTATGCAAGGAATCACAAAGGCATGCTTCAGCCCAGCACTCAAGACTGTCTTGCCAAAATTAAAAATAAAACACAGTAGAAATTAAACCTGTTGCTTTCTACTGGCTAGAATAACAATAGATTCTACTTTCTAGATGATTTTTAAAAAAATAATAGGTGTCACTCACCTTTAACAAACTGGTCCCACTGTTTTCTGTAGTCTAAGTCCATATAGACATCTGCGAGTACAGCCGGTGGGCAATTGTCCAGAACACCAAACACTTTATACTCATAAAGTCCAGTCTGCTATGAAAACAGAAGAGGCAGAAACAATCTCTTGATTCCCAAACCGAGAGACAACTGGATTACACAGCATATGAAAAACTGTTCATGCAACACCATTACCGACTACATCCTCTGTGGTCTTGGTGACACAGTGATGAAAAAGCAGATGAGGCCCCTGCTCTAGTGAGTCTTATATTTGCTTGTAGACATTGGTGGTGGTAGTGGCTATAAATGCTATCTAGGTAATCTGAACAGGTTATAAGGAAAGTTATAAATTTAGTGGTGCCTGGTTTGGTGGGGTTTCCTATATAATTAGGTGGTCAGGAAAGGCCTCTATGAGAGATAACCTTTATGAGAACATCTTATTCTAAATATAGAAGAAGCCAGTCATGGGAAGATAAGTAAAACTCATTCCTGGTAGGGAGAAGGGCCTCTGGTTGATGGACTGGCATGCCGAAAGAAGAGAAAGGCACAGCATCCAGAGAACTGTGGATGGGGGAGAGTGGTAGGAGCTGAGGTCTCAGAGGTAGTGGGGGCCAGACTCCAAAGGGCTTTGTAAACCAGGGTAAGGGATAAGGATTTTGTTCTAACTACTAAGGAAAACCAATGAGTTACTTTAAATGGGGGGAATAATAAATAAAAAGATGATTCTTGCTGCTTGGTAGAAAGTAGATCATAAGGGAGCAAAGAGATGGATTTGAAAACCAGTGCAATGGGTGCAGATAAGAGATGATGGGGATCTGAACAAGGAGGTGATGACAGTGATGGAGAGAAGCCCAGTGATTTAGGGATATATTTAGAAGTAGTGTCGGCAGGAAGTGCTGGCAGACTCCTGTGGGTAAAGAGAAAGCGAAGAACTGTGTCTTAGAACCTCTGCTTGAACAACCAGGTAAATGGGAGCTCCATGCTCTGGGGAAATCAAGAGTTCTACTTTTGAATTTCAGATGCTTATTACAAATCCCAGTGGGAGTATCATATAGGCAGCTAGCAATCTGGGGACAGGTTACTATTTTAGACATCCACAGGGCATAATGAAACCCAGCACATTGTTTTTATCAATTCCAAGACAGAATTTTTCAACAACTTCTTCCTTTAACTTAAGAACCAGTAAATAAAAGGAAGAAACAGCAGTGTCAAATCACATTAGTCCCCTTTATTCAGAAAAAAGACCATTTCTAGATGCGAAAGTATAAGAGAGTTCTTTTGTTGTTGTTGTTGTTGTTGTATAGAACATAGTCTAAATAAATAAATAAAGTAGAGAGTTCCCGTTTTTTGTTTTTTTTTTCAGGTGAGGCCATATCCTCCTTTGTGAGAGTTCGGGGCTAGAGCGGGCCATGCTATACATTTCACTTTCTGTCCAATGGCAGCTAACAATTCCTGACCCTCCCCTTGCCTAAAGGCTCTATCCTTAAGATTAAACCAAAGGTTTTTAGATTAATTTCCATGCAAAAGCTAACAAACAAAAACGATTTTAGAATGACGTGTTCTTCCATGCGCTAAAGAAACGTTATTGGCTAACCGAACTTGAATAAAGTGGTACTCTTAAAACCAATGCCAAGGAGTTATGTTAGGTCGAGAGGTAAACATGGTGAAGCTTTCTAGAGATCTTGAGGCAGCAAGGGTTTCCTGGCTCAGGAAGCATAATCCAGGGAAAAACACATCCTAGTTTAGGAATCTTCATAGGTATGTTAAAGTACCTGGTAAGAAATGGAAGATGACATTGAAACTGAATTCATAAAACTCTTCCAGGCCTAAAAGTATATGACTTTATTCCAAGGGTTTCCAACCAGCAAATGACAAACTAGTAGATCTGAACCCCTCACGGGCTGTGCCATGGATACCCCAAAGGAAGGGCAGACAGCAGGAGAAACAGCTCCTTCTCCCTCCTCTCCCCTCCCCTTACACATAGGGGAAGGTAGTGAGGGTTTATACATATCCACTGGTTTATTAATCAACTTTGGAAGAGAGACCATTAGTTCCCTGTTCAAACATACGGGGGCCCCATTTTCTGTACACACTGACTGAGCAGAAGGGGTAATTGTTGAGATAATGATCTCAGTTTACATGAGTTAACTTTGGTTATCTGGATAAATTAAGACAAACTGTTTCCTTAAAGTGGTTCCCTTCCCCTTCTGAATTTAGTTACTGCCCTAAGTGACCTCAGTCCTATACACATCACAGAAAAGAAAAACAGAAAGCCCTCTTAGGAAGAGAAAAATAAAACGATGTGATTTACATGAATACAGAAGAATGAACTATTGTTACAACTTCCTTATACACTCCCTTCGTGGAGAACTGAGAAATGCCAGGGCTCCAGAGGAACAGAATGCTCGGTACCACTTCACTATCAGTAAAATGTTCTTTTCAAGTAATGTACAGCCCGCCCAAATTCTTGGATCAAGGCACTTTTTCACCCATTCTTTCTTTCTAAAAAGGAACTCAGCAAACATACATATTTATTTTGTCTTTTTAAAAAAATTAATTTTTTGTAATTGTAGAAATAATATTCATTATAGGAGAATTGGAAAATGCCAAAAAAAGAGTAAGGAGAAAAAAAAATGGCATGTGACTCCATCATCCACAAACACCTAGTTTAATATTTGACATATTTAAGCACATAAATACTTCTATATGTTACAAAATGGGAATGATGTTAACAAGCTATAGAGAGATCACACCTAATTTAATTCTTCTCATAAGTCAACATTTCCAATATTTTTAAAATATAAATACTGCTGGAACACTCTATCATTTCATACGGACCAAGTTGGTCCACAATTCTAATTTTTTCATTAGGAAAGTTTCCTTAGAGATAAATTTTGGGGTAGAAGGTATTACCATTTTAAGGTTCTTTATGCTTTTTATAATCCTTTAAGACGTTTGTACCAATTTATACTCTTGCCAGTCGCACAGGAGCATCTCAAAAGGACTGGGTACCGTGTTCATACAAACAATTTGATAGGAAAAAGCATGAAACTCAGCTTGATTTGGGCAAAGTTTTTATTACTGATCTGTAAGATCTCCTTAAAATTAAAAATATAAATGTTCTGCATATATGTCTCTAAAATTACTAGTACTTCAGTAAATGATTCCAAATAAGTTTACTCAAGAGGTTACTGGCTTTCCTGAAGCTCCTCCAGAAAACCATTTCTAAGAATGTCTCCATTTCTTTATCATGTTGTAAAACACGGTGCATACTTTTCTAATGCTCCATTTATAAATGAAATAAAAATTATTCAATGGTAGAGAATCAGTAAATATCTTGTGTAGAATACAATGACCAGAAGAAACAGAAGATGTGGCATAGCATACAGTACCTTCTTTCTTGCTAAGAGAAGCTCTATGGCAATGTACACAGCTAACTTTGCAGGACTGAATATGGATGTTTGGAGCTGTAGCAGCTATTTTGTAATGAAGAGGTAACAAAAAGGAGGAGGAAACGTAAAAAGACTCAAGCGTATTACTGGCATCACTGATCAGCTACACCAGTGCCAGCAACTACTGATCTCTGCCCAACTTGTTAAGTGAGAAAAATAAACCCCTTTAAGTCACTGTTAGTACAGTTTCCTATGGTATTGCAATGACACATATAAGAGAGGAAGCTTTGTGTCATAAGATTCATATTTATATTGTGCATCACGTGGGTGTTTACCCACCCTTCAGAGTAAATCTGTCAATCTAGAGCACACCATACCAGATAAATACCAAAAATTCTTAAAGATATCCTATTCAAACTCAGAAAAGAAAGAGAAAATTGACCTGTAGAGTAACATAGATGTGGATTACACCAGGCATCTTGTCAGAAACCAGCCATGTAGCTTTTATGAAGATGGCGCCGAAGGCTAAGAAGGAAGCCCCTGCCCCTCCCAAAGCTGAAGCCAAAGCAAAGGCTTTGAAGGCCAAGAAAGCGGTGCTGTAAGGCATCCACAGTCACAAAAATAAAGAAGATCCGCACGTCACCTACATTCCGACGACCCAAGACACTGTGTCTGCGGAGACAGCCCAAATATCCTCGAAAGAGCGTCCCCAGGAGAAACAAGCTTGATCACTATGCCATCATCAAGTTCCGCCTGACTACTCAGTCAGCCATGAAGAAAATAGAAGACAACAACACACTTGTGTTCATTGTGGATGTCAAGGCCAATAAGCACCAGATCAAACAGGCTGTGAAGAAGCTCTACGACACTGACGTGGCCAAGGTCAACACCTTGATCAGGCCTGATGGAGAGAAGAAGGCATATGTTCAACTGGCTCCTGACTATGATGCTTTTGATGTTGCCAACAAAATTGGAATCATCTAAAACTGAGTCCAGCTGGCTAAATCTAAATATAAATTTTTTCACCAAAAAAAAAAAAAGAAAGAAACCAGCCATGTAAAAAGAGAGTGGAGTAAAATATATACTATACCAAAAGAAAAAAAAGCCACCAACCTGGAATTCTATATCCAATGAAACTGTCCTTCAAAAGTGAAGGAGAAATAAAAGTTTTTCAGACAAATAAAAACTGAGGGAATTCATCAGCAGCAGACCTATTATGGAAGAAATGTTAAAAGATGTTCAAAGGGAGGGAAAAAATTATATAGGTCAGGAACTCAGATCTACATAACATAGAAAGTACCTGTTTTATTGTCTTCAAGCTTCTTGAAGGTATGAACTTTGTCTTACCCATCAGGTATCACCAGGGCTTAGCATAATGCCAGGCACACAATAGGTCCTAAAGACCACTTGAATGAGTACACGAACAAATAATTTGGAATTTTCATTAACCCAAAGGTAGCTATGGAAACATGTCTATCCTAAACTAAATGGCAAGATAAGGTTGTTAGGTCTATCTCTAAGCTTTTCTGGGTCTTAAAAACACAGCAAAAGTCCCAGGCTAAAATTCAAAGGTTTGTATTTGCACAGATGCTCCCTTTCTTATAAAAATATATACATTTGCATAATTTCCCTGAAGGATAAACTAGCCTCACAAAATAATGTCAAGGGACAGTGAACTTGTGAAGTAACAAACTATTCCTACTG